ACATCCAGAGAGGTAAAAAAAGCTACAGAAGATAAGGCCCAAAACAAAGCTGCAGACAAACCTAAGGGTCACCTAGAAACCAAAGCCAGACACCATGCAAGCCCAGCAACAACACACACCTACATCAGAGCTTAAACAGGAAGCAATAACCTGGCTAGGCCTGAGCTTAAATGGAGCTCCTGGCCCACGAATCAGGTGTGTGGGTGGAGGCCCCAGGTGAGGCTGGTCAGGGCTATCCATTAAGCTTTGGTGACACCCTCAGGACCCTGACAGACTCTGTCAGTGAGGACTTTAATGAACAGAAACATTTGACTGATCAGAGTTACTGAGTCTGCAGATACAGTGGGTACCAAACTTCTCCAGCTAAGCAGGTTCCTTCCTTTCTTTCAGGCGCCAGGAAGAGGTGTGCCCTGTGTGACCCCTGTATCACATGGCTTACTGCAAGAGTGCAGTAGACTCAAAGCATCCAAAACTCTTGGGTCTGTACATGCACAAGTAACCATGTCTCAGCAGATGGAGTGTTTACCAGCAAGGCACTACACAATCAGTCTGCTGCCATGCTTTTTATTACAATCGTGCAGTGAAGTAAGGGCCAAGATTTCCAATGAAAACAGAAACTGGCAGCAAACTGCTGTCCACTGCAGGTCAGGAACATCTGTCAGGAAATATTTAGAAAAAATGCAGTGGGCCTGTATAATGAGTATCAGAAGATTAAATCATAGTCCCTTCTGGCCCTATTTCACATGAAATGCTGTTTACACTTAAAGTATCTGTGTTCAGTGTGCCTACAAATGTTAACCTGTTCTCAGTGCCAATCAGGCAGGTAGATACTATCTACAGAACCAGGGCCAAGAAAGACTAAATGAGGAAGTGATTGTCAAAACCACAATTAGAATTCAAGAGTTTCTGCCTTAAACTCATGTTGTTCAAGACTTTACTCTTTCAGATAGTGCCAACTAACAATGCTGTGGGTGCTTTATCTGATCATCAGTATTACAAATCCAAAGGCATTAACAGTGTTTGGTCTGTGTTCAGCTGGATTCACAGGCACAGCACCACACACCAGTGTGGCACAGAGGTCCTTAGGTCACATCTGGGCTGTGAGCAGGCTGGTCACTTTGTCATGCTGGAATCTGAGCTAATAAATGTGAGGCAGGCTTTGATAAAAAAGTGGAAGCTGTAATCTGTGTTTTGTAATCACACAAGCAAACAGAGCCCGAATGTTTCAGTATCGTCTTTCCACTACAAGGGAAGCAGGGCCTGGTTAGATCAAATATGTCCCTTGAAAAGCAGCTTAGGTGTCTTTGCAGTGTAATTCTCAGAGCTTTTGGTTTGTGAAGGGCTAAAGTTCACAATCAATCTAACCTTTCTTAGCTTGTACTGATGCTGTCTGTGCCTGTTGCAGAGGTCTGATCCAGATGACTCTGCAGGACTAATTTAGGGACAGCCTACCTGAATATTTCTGTTTCCAGGGTCAAGGCCCTGAGGACACTAATAGGTCTTAATGGACCTGACCAGCTGCATCTGGAGTCTCCACCCACATCTTTTGCCATGGGCCCAGGAGCTCTATTTAAGCTCAACCCTGGCTATGGAATTGGCCTTGTTTATTTACAGCCTTAGTTTGGGCTTGGCCTCTTTTAGTCTATATGGACTCTGTTTAGTATTCACTTGGGTTGTACATATTTTTCTTTATTCTGTGGCTTTTTTGACCTGCTTACATCCTGCAGATTGAGTTCCTAGTCGAACTTCAGACCTACCCCATCTTCTGGAAGCTGTTATAATACCTGGCCTTGTGCCTGAATGCAGATGGTGCTCCTGAGCCTGTTCTGTTTACCCTATGTGTGTACAGTGGGGCTGGGCTCTGGCTGGTGAGGTCCTTGTCCTGCTGGCTGTTGTGTGGGGCTCCCTGTCTCTCAGGGAGCAGCTGCCCCTCACAGCTCCCTCATATTTACCACAGACTCGAGTTTTGCTAGAGCTGCCTGCAATGTAGATAGAACTACTTACAGGTTTGTGCACTCTTATTGTTTTGTACAATGTTGTTCTGTTTTATTCATTCTACAGGTGGGAGTTAACTTGCATTTTATTCTGGAGAATAGCATGGGGATAGGAGCACTGTGTCAGACCAAAGGTCCACCAGCTTGAAACCTTACCCAGAAAAATAGCCTGTAGCATATACACAAGGAAGGAGGCTTAGGTAGCATACAGGACACTCAGTGCACTCTTTCAGCTTCAAGTAATGTGTAGTTAAAACAGTACTTCTGTGTTGTGTGGTTTTGGTTAAACTTTCTTCTGTTATTTCTGCTTAAAAAAAAAAAATCCTCCCTGAAGTTTTTTGCCTCTTCAGTTGTGCTGTAGTAATGAGTTCTGTGGTTTGAAAACACATTGTATGAAGTTGCTGTCTATGTTCTGATTACATGTTTAATATACTGCTTTGATATCTTCTACTTTACAGAAAGGGTTATGGTTTCTCTAAACACACATTGAGTGAATGAGTATATCTCTCTGATATTACTTTCCAGGCTGTTTTGTTTTTTAGTGTATTGCTTGGGATTTCATCTAGGTTGCTGCCTTTCTAGGATGGAAATATTGGTGCATTTAGCTGCTCCATGTGCTTTTAGGTATACTTGTTATGTTCTTATATATCTCAAGTTTCCCTTTGCACCTTTTAAGCAAACCAGAATTACACATTATATTTGAGATATAAGTGGACAAGAGACCTGGGATAAATAATGGTGGCACAGGTTGTTTCCTGTTCACTTCTCCCCTTCTCTTGTAATGAACGCTGGTACTCTTGTTGAGCACACAGAACACTTCACTGCAGCACCTGTGATAGTACCAGGCTCTTTGTCTTGAATGGTAGGAGTTAAGTCAGAGGCTGTGACTTCTATGTTTCACTCCATGTGCTTCACTTTGCATTTTAGTGAAAGGATTTTATCCAGTTTTATTGCCCAGGCAGTCATTATTGTGGGCTCTTTTTCCAAACATTTATACTCAGTTTGTCTTGCTGGGCTGAGTATCTTACTGTTGCCAGAAAATATTGTGACCTGGTGCTTTTTGCTTCCCAGGATGGAAGACCTCAGACCATGAGCACATAAGTCTGTAGGTGTGTCTGTTTGTTTCCTAGCCTTTAGCATGTTTGTAATGGAGCTGTGATTGTGCATGTTAATGCTTGGGTGCTCCTGTTAACCTGCTTATTGTAAATCAACCTTAGCCCTTATTGTTTGTTGCTTTCCCCCAAGTTAGTAATTTCTTGCTCTGCATTTTATTCAAGCCCACAACCTCTAACTTATTGCCATCTCCCCAAGAAACATATTCTGATTATGTGGGGTTTTATCAAATTCCAGTTCCTTCAACTTTAGCTGTGTGCAGCAGTTTGAGAGCAATAGTTCCTTTACCTCTCAAATCACCTGTTATTTTATCTTACAGAAGTAGCTTGTGCTACCTTGTATTTTAGCAGGATAATCACTTTGGAATTATATAAGCCTTGATATCCAGCCCTGAGGAGGAGATGGAATGGTTACACCCAGCAAAGAGAACTCGTGTGTTGCTAAAATTCCCTGCCACTGAAGGGAACTGCTCAAAATTGAGGTGTCTGTGTAGGTTTCAATTTGTTTCAGCTGCAATGTCTGTGAGCTTGGCTAAGATTCCCAGAGTGAATTCCTCTTTCACTGCCAGGACATGTAGGGCAGGTGGGAAGAGGATGAAGGTGCAAACTGGTGAAGGGTTACCTAGCCACTGTTACTGAGGAACAGCAGTGACAAGGAGTTATGCAGATCTGTGCTTCTCCTTGGTCACGTCACTTCAACCAGCAGAATGTTGGCGTTTAAAGCACCTCTAGGAATGGATGGATGTGGACAGAACTGCTCACTTGTGTGCAGCAGCAAAGCCTCTCTGCAGGCTCACATGGGACTGGGCTGGTTCTCACTTGAAGTGCTTTATATTGCAACAGCTACAGACTTCATAATAAGGAAGCCTTTCTAAAAAAGTACTGCTCCGGTATATTGTTTCACAGATCCCATTTCCAACATCTGTTTTTCAGTCTGAAGAGATGTTAGGTTTGGTGACCTGCTTTTCACAAAAGGCTGTGGTGATAATGAGGGGTGGAAGAAGTCAGTCAGTGGACTGACTCTTCCTCTTACCATAACATTCTACTCACCCGCTTCCCTCTGGGAAGGAGCAGCAAATATCATCAGCGGCTCTTAATGAATGAGGTGGGGGATGGGGAAAGAGCAAGCCTCATTATAGGAGGGAGAGGGCAGCTCAGCAGATCTTCCTTCTTAGCCAGCATCTTCCCCGTGCTCCTGGGAGTGTTTGCTCCACGCGTGGGACGGCCGGGCCCTGCTGGACGCTGGTGTTCGAGGGTCCTCCTGGACGGCACATGTAAGGGGAACGGGGTTTGTCCCCCGGTGAGCGCCTCTCCTGTCCCAGCTGGCCAGGCTTTCCCTCTTCCAGGCTGAAAAGAAAAGGGATGATTTTACAGAGTGCCACCACCGTGGCTGACCGAGGGGTATGCGGCGTCAAACCACAGCCTCCGCAAGTAACGGGATAATTTGCCTTTTCTCTTATTACCGTCATTTAATTTTGTTGTTGTTGTTAAATAACCCCCGGCGTTAGCAGCCCGGCACGCCGACGGCGGCTCTTGTGGGCATCCGTGGGGGCACGGCCGGCACTGTCCCTGTCCCCGGGGCCGTGTCGGGTCACCCTGGAGCGCGGGGACGTGGGTGGGGTGCGGGGGGCGGCGAATCCCGCTCCGGCCGCGGGGATCCAGGGCGCGTTTTGCCGCCTGCCGGGAGGGCTCGGTGCGGCGAGCGCCCCGCCGAGCCGCCCCCTCCCCGCTCCCTCCCGGAGGGTCCGGCCAGGGGCGACGCCGCCGGAGCACCGAGCACGTTTCGCGGCCCGGGGCTGCTCTCCCCGCCTGGGCTCGTCGCGCCATGGGAGCCGCCCGCCCGCGGGGGCCCGGGCCGTGACCCGCGCCTCGCCCCGCTCCGAGCCATGCCAGCATCGCCCCTTCCTGAGAGCTGCGGGCTGGCCGCGCCGCAGCCCTGGTACGTGTGCGGGACGGGTCCCGGGGCTGCTGCGGGCGGGAGGGGGGGAACGGCGACCACCTCTGCTCTCGGAAACCCCACCTTTTTTTATGTTCTTTTTTTTTTTAATGCCTCTGTTTTCTCACTCCTTCCCCTCTCGCTTATCCCCTCGGCCAGTTGCAAAGTTGAGCTCCGGTAGAGTGGGGAGGGGGAGGCAGAGGCACTGCCGTGGCCAGGCTCGGAGCCCCGCGGCTCGGGCCGTTCCGCGGCGGGGAGGAAGGCAGGCTGGGGGTTATTCAAATGCAAAACGGAGTTTGTTGGCCGAAAAAGCGAAGAAGTCCGGTCTCCCTGGCTGTGCTGGAGCGTGTTTGAGCTGCAGCAGCCAGAGCCTGCCTGGAAAAACCCGCCAGGCAGGAGAAGCTGCCTGCAGCCTGCGTGGAGGACAGGGAACAATTAAAAGGGACCCTGCCCGGCCGTAGGGGCCCCCTGCTAGCCGGAAAACCCCGCAGCCCACTCCTGCCGCCCCTTAAAGCCCGGCGAGCGAGGGCTGTGCAGCATCACCCCGTGGAGGTGCCGCTGGTGTGCGGGGCTGGGGCAGCATCGCCGCGGGAGAAGCCGGGCGCGTCCGGATGGGCGCTGCGGGTCCCCAGCGCCGCCGCTGGGGTCGGCCCCATTGTCTGCAGCCCTGGGGAGGGCTCCCGGGGTTGGGGGGCCGGGCCACGAGGAGCCGCTGCCTCCCCCCGAAGGGCCCTGCCTGCCCCTTCCTCCCTTGGGGTCCGCCTGCCTGTACTGAAGGAACCAGAGCCCTGCAGGGCTGTAGTCCCCGGGGCGTTCCTGAGTGCTTGTCCAGCTGCTCTTGGAGCTGGTGGTCTTATGGCAACCCGAGGCTTGGCGCTCCCTGCCGTGCTCGTGAAAGAAGCAGGGGAGAAGGATGTGTTACGCCGAATGGGTGAGGAGAAAGGACGAGGCGGCCTGCTGGGAGGCAGGAGCAGCTAACCTTACAAAGGTATGGCTGCTGGTGCCCGAGGAGCGAGCAGGGGGAACGGGCTGGGTTTGCGAAGGGACCGGGCAATAGTCAAAGGAAACGCGCCAGTTCTGTGCCCAGCCTGTCCTACACTCGGCCAGCCTATCGTGCTGCACCCCAAAGATATTTAAAGAGCAACGTAGTCCGCATCACTTGTGTCTCGGCCTACGTAGCAGCTGCCCAGCGTGGTGAGATTGCTACTCCTTTAAGGAGGAGAAGGGAACGTGGAGCAGGGCGTGAGCGCACCAGTGTCAGTGGAGTGGAGGCGACTCCTGTAAACAAGCTGGCCAGGGTGGCTGCACCAGCGTGTATCTGGCTGAAGGGCTCTTACTCTAGAAATTATAATACAGTAACGGCAAAATGGGCAAAGAGCGCAGCACTAGGTATTTAAATGTGACTGAGTGGATTTCTAAGGCAGAAGTGTTTAAATTTTCAAGACAATGGAAAAACCCGTGAAAACAAGAATAGTAATAGTAGTCATCTCCCAAATAATAATAATTCTTCCCAGCTGTGCTCAGTGATTTTTGAGGTGCTCTTGTGGAAAGGCAGAAAGCTGTTCTGTAATTACCCTGTTTTCATTATGTCAGTCAATGCGAATTAGGAAAACACATGGAATTGGCAAAATTTAGCATTTAGTCTTGGTCTGGGCAGGTAGTCTGGTCGACTGAACTGTAAAGGAGGAGAAAGCTGGTTTATGCTTTTCTGAAGTGGTTGCTTTGCCAGCACAGGGGGTGGTGGGAATTGCTCTTGGGATGAGGGTCAGTCCCTCAAGATAAAGAGTTTGTTGTGCTTGGAGGAGACAGGGGCAGACTGGGTTGTGCAAAGCAGGTTACTGGGGAAGGTGAGATATACCAACGAACTTTGATATTCGTAGTTTCTGTAAGACCTAATTCTTCACTGTGTAGTAATTAAAAATCTTCACTAATCATGTTTTATTATGACTGGCATGATACCTGTGGTTGTTGAAGCTGGCCTAAGCACTTCCATCCTGCTTTCTGTTTTCAGATACTTAAAATTTCAAAACACCTTTCAGGCTGAAATTTTCCAGGCTTAATCTTTGCCTGAAGGTTCTTCCCTCCACCTCCCCCTTCTTTTAGCTGGGTTTGAGATAAGGTGATTCAGTTAATGGTGGTGGGGTTTTTTTGTGGGTTTTTTGTCCTTGTTTTTAAGAAAAAGCAAGCCCCCTGAAGAACAGAGTCATACTATCAAAAAGAAATGCAGTGCATTAAACAGCATAAATGCAGAATAGAGAGGCATATGATGACTTAGGGTGTTCTGTTTGGTGTGCTTGCTTTTTTATGTCTTCAAATGTATCTGGAGTGTTCTGGTGGATGAGGTTTTTCTTCGATGAGCCTTTAGAAATTAATTGGTGTATTTTTACTTTTTAGCATTCCCCCCGTGAAGGTCAGTGCTTGGCTGCACTGCACATAAGTTAAAGTAAGCCCGTGCTCCTGCCTGGCTGAAGGGAGGACACTTGCACATGTGGTGTGAGTCTTCACATTGGATTTTTGGTTCAGGTTGTTTGTCTGAGGCTTAATCTGGTTTGTGGTTTAGGCGTGTGCAGTTCCTTGTCACGGTTCTGGTGTTTTTTGGTTTTTTCCCCCTAATCATTCTAATAGAGCTTTTTCTAAACTAGGAGGAGTTGGTTTTTTGTTTTTTTTTTTTTTTGGTGGTATCTTTTTATCAGTGTGACTCACTGTGTAGGCTCCAAGGTACATGAAGTCATGACAGTGCCAAATGCTAACCATGGCCAGGTCCTGCTAAATTCATGGAGCGTGCCTATTTCACAGCAGCCTCCAGCTCCTCACACAGCGGGGTGGCAGCCCTGCCTTATCCTCCAAACACTGGCGCCAGCAAGGACAACAATTTAGAATGAACGTCTTGATGCATCATCCTGTGTTGCTGATGAGTGGGTAAAGGATTGTGCTTTGTGTCTTTGTGAGAAACTGAGGTGGCATCCTTCAGTGCCTCTCCCACATTTGTGTGCTGCTGGGAAGTGTTGCCTTAAGCCAAAGTTTATTCTATGTGGATGAAATCCATCCTGTTGCTTCTGAGTGGCATAGTCCTGTAACATAAAGCAGAAAACCTCTGTGGAGGAAAATGGAGTGGGGAGGCCTCTGTGTATGGAATAATTCACGGTACTGAGATGGCAGAGATGTTCCATTTTTATTTCTTACCCAAAGCCAAATGCCTATTCAAGGATTAAAGAAGGGGGAAAAGGAAAACTAAAGCTGATTCTCTCTTCCTAACCCATTTCCCTCCTTTTCATGTACAAAGTGTTCTGCAGAGCAATGAGTAGATGCAGGGAACGAGGCCAAATTGGAAAGCAGGTTGGCTTTGGTGCAGCTGGGAAGAAGATGAAGATGATATGATATGTTTTGCACCTGAGGGTCAGATTTTTTTTGAAGTCTGTCTTCTCTGGTGTCTCTTGCCTCTTCCTCTAGAGCATTTGTTGCCAGAAAATCAGGTGTTTTTCGATTCTAAATTATGCATCTGAGCTTGTGTGACAGTTTAGTCACATTGTGGCCCTTATTGCTTGGGACCTTCATATTATGGAGTGACTGTTATGAAAGCTTCCAGATTTGTTTCTCCTAAAGGCAAATCTCAAGGGACTTTTAAAAGGATACCTAAGCACTGAAATAAAATGTATTTAAGTACATCTGACTGTAGTGAAACCAGGTGACTAGTGAAGCTAGTAAGTTTTTTTTTGCTGTACTGCTCTGTTTGTTCAGGGGTCACTTGCCATCTTTCACAACACCATAAGAAAACTGCCATCATTTTTTATAAGGACACATCTTATAATATCTTTCTTTTTCCCCTGCCATCTTCCAACGAGAATCAAGTTATGTAACAGAATCTTGATTGACACTGTCTCTAAAATGAAAATTTGCTTTATCTTTTTTTCACCTATTTGTGTAATGTGAAATATTGTGGGTGGGTTTGGTTGGGGTGGGGTTGTTTTTGTTGTTGTTTTTGTTTTCTGGAGGCATTCTGACATTATGGGGTTAAATTTCTTAATTACTTTGTAGTTAGAATGCTTATTATAATTGTTTGGAATTTTGACCAAGACAGGACTAAAAGATTTAGCCTTTGACTAGCTTTTTTAGCAGTATTTGTTGAGGATTATAGCAGTCAGTGGAATTGTTCCAGATTTATTACCATGAATGAGCAAAACTTGAGCAACTGACCTTAAAACCAGCTTTCAGCTTTGCACATGGATTAGGAGAGATAAGTTGGCTGGAGTAACAGCCAGCTTCGGGATGCACTGATATTATCTAGGGCAGTGCCCTGCAATACCTCCTGTCACCTATTGTCACCTATTGTCACCTCTTCCATCCTAGAGACGCCTGTGCTCCCCTGTGAGGGCAGGCACGGCAGGTCTCACCTGGTTTGGCTTTCAGAAGAAAGCATTGAACTAAGTTTGTTTCTCTCCAGGATGAGAGAACAGTGACAAGTTAATTCTATTGCCCCATGAGGTTTATGTTTTTTTAATCCTGTTGAGTCCACGTAGATGTTTTGGAAATATAATTACTTGCTTGTTGTGAAATATGACCAATGTGATAAAGCCATTTGTTGTCCTTAAGAAGGGGCACGAGATGATTTGCAACTGCTGCAGATATCAACAGTCCTTGCCAGTGCTTTAAATGCAAAAGGGAAGGTAAAATATTTCCTAGTGTTACAGGAAACAAAACTTGAATACTAACCTTGCAGCTATCTAATACTCTGCTCCTAACTGTGGAAGAGGAAAGAAAGAAATAGCAATGTAACTTACAGGACAGGTTATTTAAAATGTCAATCTGTTTTTAGCTAGCAGTTAAAGTGGTTTTGGCACACTAGTATTCAAGACTAGGGTTTTTTAATGGAAACAGAGATCTCTTGCTGACAACCATTTTGCCCAAGAGTGTAAGATCACCTTGCAGGTCGGGTACTCAAAGTCCCACACAAATATAACTAAAGTGAAGCATTAAACCCCTACCCCCAAAAAAATTTCCTTTGGGGATCTGTTCTGAAAAACCTAAAGTCACTCCAGTGACAAAATCGAAACGAAACAGAAGTGTTGCAGTTCTTGTGACCCTGTGTTGTTATCTCTGAGTCAGACAAAGCCTTTGCCATCTTTTATAATGCAGCATTTAAAGCCAAATTCTTTCTGTAGCAAGAAAAAGGGAAGTCTTGAACCACTCTGTTCATAACCTCTCTAATTTTAGCCTTGAAGAGCAGCAATGCTTTGGCATTGATAGTTTTCTACATTCTTGCTAGACAGGTATGTTTCTCTCTATTGGAAGAGTAAAACAAAAAAGACAGAACCAACCAACCAAAGAACCCCAGGATGATCTTGCCTCTTCAGTCCTGAAGCAACTATTTTGCAATTTTCAAATGGTGCAATCACAGAATGGTTGGAGTGGGAAGGGACCTTAAAGACCCACTCATTCCAACCCTGTGCCATGGGCAGGGACACCATCCACTGTCTCAGGTTGCTCCAAGTCCATCCAACCTGGCCTTGGACACTTCCAGGGATCAAGGAGCAGCCACAGCTTCTCTGGGCACCCTGTGCCAGGGCTGCCCACCCTCACAGGGAAGAATTCCTTCCTGTTATCTGTTGTGAACTTGCCCTTGTTCACCTTGAAGCTATCTCCCCGTGTCCAATCACTGTCCAAATGCAAGTAAAGACATATTGTCATGTAATTGTAGTAATGATTTTAAAAGTTAACAAATTATTTAAATTAAGCTTCTGATTGATAATTTTGATAGTTGTACTTCCTGAACTTTGACAGTAACAGTACCAACTACTTGTGTAGGCAAACAAAAACATGAGCAAAGCATCCTTCACATTCAGTGTTCTCGAAAATGCAGCCACTGTTTCCACTGCAGACCTTCTGTATTGTCTGGTAATTCTGTTTCTGCTTTAGGGCTGATAAAGAGAAAAGACTTTATCACTTCAGTCCCCCTCCTGATTCACACATTGCCATGGTGCCTGGCCTTTGTTGCTGGCTTGCTTTCTTCCTTGCTCTCCTGGCTCTAGGCTCTGAAAGTAGCTCGCATTTCTTCTCCTGCCGCTGTTATGTAGCTCCTCTGCTAATGGCTGCAGATGTGCCTGCTGCTTGTTTCCAGCTGGTTTTGCAGCCCTCCAGGCCGTCCTTTGGAATGAGGATCCCACTCTCTGTCACAGCCCCAAGAAAATGGGGAGGCTTTTGCAGGCTGCCAACATCTATTTCATGGACCTGCTGATGTGATGTCCTCTCTGATTCATGGAGTGGCTCCTAATGGCCATGTCCCCCTTCCCCCATTTGCCTCCAGAGAGGGGTAGGGGGAGGAGAGTACTCGGATTACCTTCAGTTTCAGTTGTATTTGTTTTAGTATTTCCCTGTCTGACCCAGCTTTTATAGAGAGCTTCTGTGGGAGCTGTTCAGGTCTCTTCTGTGACCTTTGAAGTTTTACCCACGGCTATAAACAACTCCACGTGCCTACTTAGTCTCTCCAGGTTGGATGTGTTGCTGTGGAGGAGGGATGCTATTTATTTTATTCAGCTTATTTATTGTGTGTTTGGTGGGCACTGTTCTCTGAGCTGACCTGAGAAGTGTTTATAGCCTTGTCTCTTGCAGCACTGCTGGCTTTAAATGGTATTTGTGTGTGAAAAAACCTGCTGTCTCATTAATCATGTTCATCTGATATGCAATCTGAAGATGTGATACAAGATAATCACATCATGTTTAGATAAGATGGTTTGTATGTTGTAGTACAGAGGATCAGTTGGCTTGCTACAGCTGAATAAACAAAGAGCCAGGCTTCAAAAATGCTTTAAATAAGCTACTCCAAAAGAGTTTGGGGAGTTTGTTAGCCTTGGTGGGTGCTGTGGCCACTGGGCAGCCTGGCCAGGGCTGTGACAGAAGCAGGCTGGCTGCCATGTGCTGCTTTGGGGAGCAGCAAGCTGGTGGCCCACACAGAGGCCATGTGAGCCTCTTTTGGGGCAGCGCTGTTTGGGTTGCATTAGCAGAACTCTCCCACCCTCAGCAGAGCTCAGACCAGGCTGTGGGGAAGTGCAGCCTCCATGAGGTCACTCTGTTGGCTTCAAGGTGGGGATTGAGGTCACAGGAGGGAGTGGTGATGTCAGGAGCCTGGTAACACTCTTCTTTCCTTTTCTGTTTCCCTTTCTTTTACTTCCATTTGAGACATTTACTTCCATTTAGACGTCATCCCCTTACTTTGTGTTCTTCCTTTTCTTGGCCTCTTCCCATCAATGAGAGGTGCAGAAAGCTTTAGGAATTCAAAGGAATGATGGTGAAGGGATGGTACCTCTCTGCTGGAGACTATAGAGCCTCTGGCTCTGCCTGTTCCCTTTTTAAGGCTGCTCTTGTCTACCCACATGATCCATTCAAAATAGCTAAAGAAAGCTTTAAAAGCCTTCTACAGGTACTTAAAAAGCACTGTGTTCTCAAAAATATGTACTTGTGAGAATTGCTTTACTTTAAAAACATCCATCCCACCTTGAAGGAAATTGGTTTGGAGCATGAGAAATTTGTTTTATCTTTCAAGATTGATTCAGTTGTGTCCAGGCAGCTGGGAGACCTGTGCATTGCAGTTGTGTATGGGGACAAAAGCTTGGGACAGATGTATGGTGGTTTTTTTTGAAGGTAAATTTATTAAGTTGTAGTGATGAAGCAGAGACATCTGCCTGGCATAAAACATCTGATAGAGACAGGCAGTATGGAGTCAAGGGTTGGAATGTAGTACAGTGTGCTGTGAAGTTATTGTAGAAGATAACACGGGGAAAGACCAATTCTTCCCTGGTCCAGTTCCCCTGTAATCCCACAGATTGATCTCTTTGGGGAGCTAGTTCCTGCTCCCATTTTAGCTGGAATTGTACCGTGCTGGACTGCCAGAGGATGCTGAAAGAATGATAGATGCCCTGGTGATGATGTATTGGGTATGAACAAAAAATAAACTCAGCTTTGTTCTTTTGTTCCCAAATGTCTTTACACTGAGAAATATGAACCTCTCCTTACTCAAGGGGAATTTATTGGTTAATGAGCTGTTAATAATATTGAGAAAACTCAAACGTTTTAGTTCTGACATAAAATAATAAGTATGTGATGTTGCTTGGTCGTTTGAATTCAGTTTGCTTCTTTGTTTGTGTTGCAGGCCTTTAGGCAAGCTTTTTATTTTGTAGTATACTAATATTTTCAAAGCTTCTGTGCTAGTTGAACATACCACCCAATACTGCTATTTCTGATTCTGCCTCTGTATTTTTAAATATTAAAAATGGTCAACTGAATAGATGTGCACCTTTTATTAGTTAAAAGTATGTTAATGCTGTTTTGTATCTCTTTCTGTTTCAGAGTTGACATTGTATGAGCACAGAAGGCAGCAATGGGGGTATGCAGTTTTCTACTGAAGAGGTCTCTCAAGAGCTCATGATTTTTTTCCATCTCTCCTCTTAACATTCCTCCTGCTCCACAGACATGGCTCACCATGCGAGGCCTTCCAGATCAGCCAAAAAAGAAGAGTTAGGCAAAAGGAAAACTAACCAGAGCAAAAAGAAATCTAGCCAAGTGAGAAAGAAACCCACAAAGACTTCCACAAAAGCTGTTAGTTCTGGAAAAGGTAAAAAGCCAGTGCAAGAAAAAGATGTTAAGAAAAAACAGCCAGAAAAGAAATCAATCATGAGCTCTTCAGGTAGACTTCTCAGGAGCAGTGTAACCAGAACCTTGTCTGGAGCATCTTGGGTGAGTTTGGAGAAAGCTGACAATATCCTTTTTCACAACCAGGATTCTTTCAGCATCAATGGATTTACAATGTCTCTCCGTAACCGATCCTTCTCCCAAAGATTGTCCCAAACTCCAATAACTGCAAAACCCAGGAAAACTACACCACAAAAAAGGCTAGAAACAAAAGAAAAACATGAACAAGAAGCCCTGGCAGTAGTAGAAGATAAAAACGAGGAAACAGATGAAATAGCTTTGAAACAAGATTTAGCTCAAAATGAGTTAGCTCTGCCTGTAGAAGGCTGTCTGTGTAGTGCAGGTGAAGAGCCTCTTATCCCATGTGCCAGTCAGGATGAGGAGGTAGAAATACCTGAAACAGATGACTCCATTCCCAACAGTCAGGGAGCTGCTGATGGTACAGAAGCTTCAGAGGTGAAATCTAAGCATGAAGACCTGCCCTGTGAGCAGGTACCCAGTGATCTTGGTACGGGTACTTTGGCTGAAGCATTTGTTGAAGGTGCTGCACTGGTGCTTCCATCTTTTCCTTCTGACTCTCTAATTGCCTCTGAATGCAACTCGAAGGTGCATGCAGAGACCCCCTTCAATGTGGTGCCTAACAGTACAGAACCTGACTCCAGCTCTGTTGATACCTCAGACCTCAGCTCAGCAGTACTGATAGAGTCAGTCACACTTGCCAAATTCCACATTGGAGCAGGGTTGGACATGGTGCTACCTAGGGGACAACAAGATGTGGATTCTGCATCTCTCGTTACCTCTGAGTTCAACTCACAAGAACATTTATTCGAAGATGCAAGGTCACTTGCAGATTCCTGCTTGAAGGCAGGCTGGGGTTTGGAATCTGAGAATAAAGACATTGGTTCAAATTCCAGTTCTGTAGCTGCCTCTGAATCAAATTTGCTTTTACATTTTGAAGGTGCTAGCTCACTTGCAGAATACCCCATGAAACTGGTTGTGGATTTTGTACCCATTCACAAAGAACTTGATTCAAATTCAGATTTGAGCTTCACAAAAGAGAATTCAGAATTTGACACAAAAAACATATTTACAGTATGTGAACCGGTCTCCAATACCTCTTTAAACAATATTGAAGTAGAGGACATTGAACAGCTTGTTAAATGTATTGATGCAGAGACATTAATTTTGAATTCAGGGTATGTCCCCGCTTTATCTTCAGACTTAGAAAAAGGCACAGTTGATAAAATTTCAGCTGAAAGCCCTGGACAATTCTCTGCAGGTTTTGTTTCAGAGTTGCCTTCAAGCCTGGAAATCTCTGCTCTTGCCTCAGAAAAAGCCATAAATGCAGATTTGCCAGCTGACTCAAGACTGCAGCATAATGATTATTCATCACAGCTGGGAAGTGTCGGAGTAAGCTTGAATTTGGTTCAGGACAACGTGAGCACCAGCACTGAAGCAGTTCAGGCCTCGGGGCTGTCCTCTCTTAAACATCCAGCTGGTGATTACCCTGTTCCATATTCATCTCTGCTCCCTATGCTGGAGAAAAAGAAACGAAGGCGTTGTGGAGTGTGTGAGCCCTGTCTGAGGAAAACAAATTGTGAGGAATGCAGCTGTTGCAGGAAGCGCAAAACCAGTCACCGGATATGTAAAAAGAGAAAATGTGAAGAACTGAAAAAGCCACCACCACCAATCAAGTTACCTTTTGAGGTAAGACCAAGAAGTTGCAAATTCAGTCACTCTTTTGAGGCTTGAGGTGCATCTTAAAGTTCTGCAAAGGGAAATGCTGGCCACATTACAGCTTGAGAGAGTTCAGGGCTGCTGTTGGTGCTAACAGGTTGTACAGTAACTTCCTCTTCTCATCTGCAGAAGTGTAGCTTAGAGTGAGCTGGAGTTAGTCTTGTTCCTGTTGTGTAAATCTGTAAAATCAAAGGTAAATATGGCCTTAACTCTGTCCCAGATATTGGTGTGTTGGCCGAAATAATGCATTAATTGGAGTGCATGAAGAAATGAGAAAGATTTAAGCACAAAATGTGGGGAGGAGGGAGATTGAGGATAATTTTAGGAGACTGAATTACTAGGGGGAGTGTTGGCATTTTAAAATGCTGAAGGCTAAAAGCAAAGGAAGGCAGGTTGTCTGCTCTTTGGTTCAGTTAAAGTAATTTGCTTGTGGTGACAGATTTGGTGGAAATCAATTTTTAAACTTCAGGGCCGAGTTGTAGCTGCATTTTCCTCTTTCACATCTCTCTGCCTTTCTAATTGTCTATTCTTCTGTTTCTCTCTTTTCACTTCTCTTTCCTCTCTCCCTTTGTCTTTCACCACATTCCCCATATATACTTTCTTTTTCTGTGTGTCTTGCTCATTTTTCTGACCCATCAGCCTTTTATAACCCAGGTGATAACTTTTGGAACAAAGAGGAGGGGAAAAGACAGTCTGTATGCCCATGTGATAACAGCACTGACCTTCTGAGGGATTTCAGTTTCAAGATCAGGTAAGTAGGGAGTTGAACATAGATTTCCCACATCCCAGCTGAATTCCCTGACCTCTGAGCTGCAGTGAGACTCTGCACTGCCAGGTCCTGCTGAGAGTGTTCTCTTCATATGATCCAATATACCTGAACCACAGAGAGGGAGAGGCTGTCTTGGTAGTTAAATCACCAGGGCATTGGCCTTGGGATGTGGGAAACTGAGGTTCAAATCTCTGCACCAGTGTGTGCTCTGAGTGGAGCAGTTCACACTGGGGAGAATGTAAAACCTTTCTCAAGAAAGGTTGCTCAGTTTCATTGAAATTGTGTTCTTACAGCAGGCAGAGATTCCTGTCAGCTGCAGAGATCTCAGGAGAGCTCCTGTTCTCCCTGCTCTGTCCTGGCAGAGAAGTCTGTTCTGGTTTTAAGGTGGGCAAGCAGAAAGAAGAGTCCTGTAGCAGTGAGGGGATGTGATATATTCCCCTTTGTGGGGAGGAATATTTTAAGGTGTATTGTTTAGGGAAGTTGGCTTAAACGGTTTGGCTCAGAATTCATTCAAAAACCTCTTTGTGTCTCAACTGCTCCCTAATGCTCTTAAAAAATAAGTGAGGAGCAGCTGTAATGTGACTTAAGATAAATATTAAAGCAATAAAGGTGGTAGGGGCTTACCCTATTACTCTGACTTTTAACAGCAAAAGACGTTGTCCTTTTGCATATGTAATCAGTGGGATTGAAGAAAAGTTCATGGGAGAGGATTCATGGAGTTTTGAGGTAGGAAGTGATCTAAAAGCCATGTTTTAAAAAGGGTTTTGGCAGGGTCAGTGAAAGGAAGCACTCCAGCTTTTCTGTCCACCTTTGTTTTCCAGGCTAGACATAGTTCTTTACTTGTTGCTCAGCCTGACCTTCTCCTTGCAGATTAACTTTGCCCCTTCACCTTTGTCCTCTCTGGACACTCCTTTTACTTTCTTTATGAGAGATTCCTTGTTTTTATTCTTTTCTTTGGCAGCTTTTATTGTGGTGTGCTTTTATTTCATTAGACTGGTCATGTTCTGTATGGTGCATTCAGAGCTGCACCAGAGGCCTCCTTCATTTCTTGTAAAATTTTGTATGAAATTTCAGGGTGCTTCATGGAGGAAATGAAGTATTCCTGACATTTAAGAACATGTCAGGTATTTTCTTATAAAACTGTATTTGAATGAAACCTGGTGCCTTTTCAGATGTTCCTAGAAAGAGGCCTTGCTTTATTTTCAATCTCTAGAAACTGTGCTCTGAGGAAATGAGATATATTTCTAGAATGTTACATCAGCTCTTTCGAGGTGTTGAGATACAGGGGAAGGTGCTGGGGGTTGAGGAATGCTGTCATTCAGTTTAGCAGCTATCCTTTAGATAAGATTGCAGGGAATTCCATTGTTTCACCAGACTGGTAGTACTGGGACTTCTGTGACAGTGATGTGTTTCAAATAGAAAGCAGCTGAGGAAAACAGAAAACCGTAGGTCTCTGTCCATGGTATGGAAAGTGAACATAAATAATTAAAAGAAACGAGGTTGGCTTCAGTGTTCCTTGTTCAGAAGAGTCATGCTTCTTTCTCTCGTGTTGGTGGAATGTAAGCATTTTTGGAGGTGATTCACTGGGAGGAAGAGTGTAGGGGGATAGAGCAGGAGCATAGTTTAGACGTTGGTGTTTTCCCTTAAAGGAATTCTCTCTTACCATTCTAACTAAAAAACTGCAAAAGCCCCAGTGAAGTCAGTGAGAGCTGTGTGCATTAAATGGCTCTATAGGCACTGTGGGGGCTGGCATACTCCATACCTGCTGCTTAGGAAAGGGAAAGTGGTGCTTTTAAAAACTTCTGTGGATTGACAGTTGTAGGGAGTAAGGCCTGGCTGGTGGTGGGAGCCATGAATGTAAACTGAGGTGCATATTCCTGCACCCATGCCCACGTGTGCACAAACACTCAGCCCTTGGAGAATATCACTTGCATGTTTGGATCTGGCATTAGTTAGGTTACTGTTATTTCCATTAATTCACACGTTATCCAGATAAAGATTTGAAAACTATGTTGGACTTGAAAAATACCATTTAAAAATAACAGCTACATAAAACCTTCAGTGATACTGTACCTTCCTGAATGTAATGGGTTTTGCAGGGATGTGACATCATGAAAGTCTGCATAAGGCATTGTGAGCTCTAGTTCTCAACCCCTGTTTGTAGCAATATTGTTGCATATAATGCCCCTCTCCCTGAGGAATTCACACTGTGCCTGTTGGGTTTGGAGCTGGTAAAGAAGAATCCTAAAATATATAAGGGAAAACATTTTTTTTTTTTTTTGCTTATTGACTTTTTTGAAGGAGCAGCACAGTAAATAAAATGTAAGGAAGCTTTCATAATTAGAGGCTTTATCTTGGGTTTCTGTCCCTCTCAGAATGAATAATGCAGGAATAGTTCACAGTGAAAGGTTTGAGAAGCTTACCCACACAGGATTATGATGCTGCCACATTTTTGTCTTGTCTTTAAAGACCTGTAGTCAACAAACTGACTAAAAAAACGAGGTCACTGAATGTTAGTTCACTTGGGTTGCCCAAGGTGTCTCGAGACATCTTATTTAATAGCCGTAATCTAAGTAACATAAAATATTAAATAACAATAGGGGCCTGCTTGTCTGTGGGTTTTTAACACACTGCTGAAAAACCCAGACATATTAAAAAAGGATGCTGCAATTCAAGTTGGTTGGGAACTTTCCAGTAAGCCATTCCTTGAATGGAAAATGCTGAATGAACAGGAACCTTTCACAGCTACTGTCTTAATGCCACTATTTTTGGGGGAAGTTTCTCAAGGCTTGAGAAATGAAATTTCAGTTTAAAACTTGAAAAGGGGACAAGAATTTTTAGAACATGTTGGTGGTAAGGGCTTTTTGCCTGATGCAGACCAGGGACTTGAACTTTGGCCTCCCACATCCCATCTGTCTCCTCTTGAATTTTTTAAAGTTTTGCTCTGCTTTGGAACAAAACCAAGTGCTGAAATCTCAAAAAAAAAAAAAAAAAAAAAAAAGGAATTCTTGTTTTCCAGCCAGGCCCAGCTATAATCAAGAAATTTAAACTTTGTGGTATTTATTTTACAATAGACTCCAGAAATATTTCAGCCAGTTGAATTTTAAAATGAGTGCACATAAGTATCATACTCGGGAGTGTTTTTGAGAGTTTTGTAAGGGGATAGCACACAGCTAGAGGAGTTTGGTAATGTGTGTGATGAGCAAAGCTGCATACAGCCTTTCCTACCCCACAGATGCAGGGCAGGGAGTTGGAGTTGTGCACTTTATTCTTATTTTATTTACATACAGTCTGTGGGAGTGTAAAATAATTACAACTCACAGTACTTTGCCATTTCTCTGCGTTCCTGGGTGTGGACTAAATGCAGCCTAAATTACAGTGAGACTGATTAGTTTGTGTTGTAGTTATTTTCAGAGGCTGTTTTTAACAAGTTGCCTCTTCACTGCTCCTTATTCTCTCTGTTGGTTCTTAAATCTTTTTTTGGGAAATGATTTGAAGAGGTTTCTTTCCTCCCTTGTGTCTTAGGGACCCCTAACATGAGGTTACAAGGAGGCCTGAAACTGCTGTCCAGTGCGTGCACCAGTCTGGGGACTAAATCAGAATATGGGGTCTTAGGTCTCTAAGCAAACAAAATACTGTTCCTTTTTCCCCCCCTGTATTGTAAAGCATCTTAAATAGCCAAAACTACGAAGAAGAATCAGATCACTAAGTGTATGTGATTTCCACTCTCTGATTTTTAATGTGCAAAAAGACCCTTGCAGACTTGAGGTATTTGGGAGAAAAATACAAATCAGTGGTTTAATTTTATGTTATGCTAAATCCTATTTAATACATCATTCTGGTGCAACAAATGAAGAAGTTAGATACAAGGTAGCATCAGATAACAAAAAATGGGGAACAGCTCTCTCTGATTTAATTGCTACAGTGGGGAATGAGCTGAGTCCGCGTCTGAGCATTTCTGCTATTTCACTGATTTGCACCAATAATGACATTACAGTGTAGCACTAGATAAGAAAACAGATTGCAGTTTGTAGCTGATGAAAAGCTGTTCTTACTGGTTTTTATCTTTTTGGTGCATAAATCCACGGCCAACGTTCTGGTTTAGATGTCAACTGCGACTTGTTTCAGTGGCGCTCCGGTGAGGGCAGTGTTAGAGACGTGGTTGTTTGTTTGCTGTCCCTACTTAGCGAATGTCTGTGTGATCCAGGAGGGCTCGCTGTGACACCTGCGACAGCTGCGGCCCCTCCGTCCTCCTCCCATCCGATGAACGCTCTGAGCAGGTGCACTTGTGGGACAATAATTGCACTTGATGTTCATACGGTGGCCGTTCCCATCGCAGCCCGTTGGCGGTGGATCGGTTGTGTTGGATGCCGTAGGAATCGATGGAGACAGAGGAGAATCTTTCTCCGGGGCTGCGGTGGGAGGGCAGCGGCCGCCGGCTCTTGGGTCCGGTGCCCGCTGGGCTCCTGGCCCCAGGCTGAGATTTTGGAGGGAGCTGCTGCAGCGTCTCTTTTCCTCGGCTCGGGAGAGCAGGTGAAAGCAGGCAGGCCCTGTGGCCGTGGCCATTCCCACTCTTTTACCAGGACGGTCCGGCCGCGGAGCCCCAGCGCTGCTCACGGGGAGAGAGCGGGTCAGGGCCGTGCCGCCCGGTGCACGGCGCTGTGCGCACGCGTGCGGGTGCACGGGGCCGTGTCCTCGCCTGACCCCGCTCTCGTCGCGGCCCTAGCCGAGCCCAGCGAGCCCGGTGCCGGTGCCCGGGCCGGCTGTCCCGCAGGAGCGCCCGGGCCGTGCCCGGCTCCGGGGGCGCGGCGGGTCCGTGCCGGCTCTTGCGGGCGGCCGCGCCGGCAGCGCCTTTGTTCGGGCGGGAGGCCGCGGGGGGGCGCTGCCGAGCGCTGCGCTGCGCGCTCCCGCGGGGCCGCTCGCGGCGCGCGCCCGCGCGGCCGCCGCTGCGGCAGGAAGCAAAGATGGCGGGGCAGGGGCGCCGCCGCCGCCGTGAGGGGGAACGCGGGGCTCCCGCGATGTGAGGGGCGCCGCGGGGGCGGCGGAAGGGCCGCCGGGAGCCGCCGCCGGCCCGCGCGGGGGCCGCGTGTAAAGCACTCGGGGTACTGCAGAAATATCGCTGTTCCATAATAAAAATCGGAGGTGTCTGCCTGCCTTTGTGACCACAACTTATACTCTGCAATTTGATGTTTTTTTAGGTTCTAACAGAAAACAAAAGGCCTCAGAGGAGGAAGCAAAGAGTTTTAAAGGTAACCGATGATTGCTTTGATATTTATCCCCTCTCATTTTGAGCAGCATTTTCTTGTCATACAGCCCAGGAAGGCAAAGGGTTAAACGCTGGGTAGCGGCGCTTTCCAGCTATTAAGCAGATTAGCTAATTTTAAAAGCACAGAACATGTCCTTTCTTTCCTCTTTCTCTCCAGCATGTTGTAGACATATTTAAACCTCCCTGCACAAGTCTGCAGAGCAAAAGTTTGCTTTCCCTTGCATTGAACGTTCCCTTTAATTTCTTCTGTTCCTAGTTTCCTACTTCCAAAGGTAACACTTAAATGTTTTTAGCATACAGCTTTTACGGCATCTGAAATTTCGGGTGAGAAGTCAGCGGTAAACTGCAAGCCAAGTTAACTAAAGTAAATTTTTATGCTTACTTTACTGAAGTTTGATTTTTTTTCTTTCTTTAACCTTTAGAATACCTCAGTTGAAACTGAAAATCCTGTAAACTTACAACAACCTTCAGTTTTAGTGGTAACATGTTCCTCCCACACTTTTAAGATGGCTATCTTTGATAACAAAAGATTGGTCTTTCAAATGCAAGCATCTTAGATTTTATACCAAAATACAGACTTGCTACACTCATGGTTAGTGTTTTGGGTTGTCTATTTTGGTTTTTTTTTTAAGTAATAGGTAGTATATAGATATTGCTTCATTGCTTCTCTCAGTTAATCTTTAGAATATTGTGAATAGAAATAAGTCATTAATTCTGTTGTTGCAAACTAACGTGTTGGAAAATGGATGGGGCAAATAAGATGCATGATATGGGTAAGATGAAGCTAGTGAAAATGCAAACAAAAAGTATGTTGTTAAACTTCTTTGCTGAACTGTTTTCTTATACCAGCTAAATCTAATAAGATAGTTTAGTATTGTTTCAGTACACTAAAATTTCAGAAGCTATTGGATATACTGGATTTGATAAATGCTGACTGGTCTGTAGTGTCATTTTACTTGAAAACATCCCAATTTCTTAACAGTTGTGTTGTCACTGTTGCATATTACAGAACCTTTGGTAAGACCAACCAAAGTTAAGATTAAGTAAGGAGCAAATAACCTGTCCAGCCTCAGGGGTGTCTGTCTTTCCATGCAGAGTAGTTGTGCTAACACTAGTTGTGATTGTACAACACTAGTAAATGTTAGTGGGCTTTTTTTTGTATTTAAAAAGCCGTTAAAATATTACTTTTTTTTGTTGTTCTGGGTATGATTTTAGTTATTCATTTTAATACTGCTGCTCTTTGTAATATACTATATGGTTGTAGCTAAGACTTGAAGTGTTTGCTCATTCTGTGCTGTAGACAGTAGCATGCAAAATAAGGAATGTTTGTAAAGCAGTCAGTTTATAATGTATAATTGGTCTGAGTTAAAGTGTGGAAAATGGGTTTTTTTCTGGTCACAGACAGATGCCTTGTGTTGGGTGTCTGTCTGCAGTCGTGGCTCATGGTTGGTCTTGAGATTTTCCTCTCGAGTTCATTTTGCCACTGTTTGTGATTTGATGGCCCAGCAGGTTGCTATGTAATATGAGTCTGTCATTCCTCTCCTTTCCAAAAAGCCTTCTGAAGAGATTTTTTTCCACCCTTGGCTCTTGAATGGAAAGGCTTGTCTGGTTCTGTGTGTGTAGTATCCATGTCAATCACTGGACCTGGGTTGATCTCTAGTTTGACTTTTCCTGTGCTCAGCTGATTCCGTGGTATTTCCTCTTTGGGTTTAGGCACTGTTCTTTGTGTTTTCTAGTATTTGTATTTGTTTTGTGGTGCTGAAGTGTATTTCCTAAGAGTTTGTCCAGTTGCATCCACCAAAGAAGGTGCAATACCTCTGAAGGCATCTCTTGGAAAGCTTTGGTTTTGGATGGGAGAAGGGAGGCCGGGCATCTTAAGTTACACAGCAGCTCTGTCAGCTGTGATAAACTTTAAAAAAGCTGCATAATTTTCAGACTGCTTTACTGGGGCATTTTTTAGTCATGTGACATTATATGACTTTAACTTGGCTTTTGCTGCTGGTGGGACAGCTGTGTAAAGTGGTGTTGTCTTATCTGTTGAATTATGACTTCACTGTTTGATTTTATGATTCATAGTGGCTGAAGGCATCTGACCAGTGACATTTTCAAAATTTCAACAGGATATGTCTTTTTTTTTTTGCATTTTCTTCAAGTAGTATTCTTAAATTTCTTAAAGGAGGATTTGTAGTAGTTTCTTCCAAAAATGCGATGTTTTGGTTTTTTTTCTAACTCCTAAGTCTTGATAGATGCACATTTATTTACTTTGAGGGCTCATGTTCTAACTGTACTGCTGAGGACCAAGCCATTCACAAATTGTGTACAGGGGAAAATAAGCAGTGCTTTGCAGTTGTAAATGGCTTGGACAGATATAAACAAGACTAGAAGTGATGCACACTATTATACTGTACCTTTTGTGTACTATTTATAATTTTCCATACTCGTGTCTTAATGCTCCTTTCTGGTTATTGGGCGACTCATTTAGGAAATTCGTCTGTGCCATAAATACTGTATTAGGTTCCTCATGTTTGTTTTGAAAGAACATCTGAAATATTCATCACTTCCAGCAAGCAAGTGCTCATTAAAGAAAGAGTCTTTGTAAGCTCACAGTAATGGATACAAGGGAAGGAATATACTTAGTTTTCCTTAGGGTTTATATTGTGTTCTTTTCCCAGTTAAGCAGAGACTTCTTTAATTTTATTCTTGGTAATGGAAAATCTATATAGAAGAGATTCATACTTAAAAATTCATTTGCCTGCATTTCAAAAGTCACATTATACACTCTGCTTCACTTAACATCATCCTTTTCAGCCACTTAGTGGTGTTCTGGCTCAGCTTGGGCAGTGCAGTGCAGTGCACCTCTTCCTAAGGACAGGGAAATGCTTGCAGTCGTTTCCAAGTTCATTGCCACAGGGTTTAGAGGAGTGGGGCAGTCAGGGAAATGCACCCTTGGCAGGTGTAGGCAGCGCTGGGACCGGGGAGGAGCTCTCCCCACAGACCAGGAGGGATCTGGTGGGGCACAGCCCCTGCTTTCCCGGGGGTTCTGGGGAGCCAGGGCTGCCTTTTGGATGACTCTGGGTGTTTGTTACCCTAATGGACATCAAAGAAACCCAAAACAACAACAAAACAAAAGGAGGAATTAAAAAAAGGGAGGGGAAAAATAGCGAAGGGTGTGTAGGAGGAATCCAGGATGACACAGGCAGTGCTGAGTGAGTTTTGTGGCTGCCTGCACAGCCTGTGCTCTCTGTTGTGTTTGCGTGTTTCTGCATAAACACTGCAACGGTGACGGTGCCTGCTCACACTCTGTAAAATCCCCTCAGCTGAAGGCAAGCCAAGAGCCAGACATGACTCAGTATCTGGGACTCGGGGCTTGTTTATAAACATCCTATTAGGAACATGAGTTTCATTCCCATCAAGCCTGCAAATAGCTGATTGAGCACCCTCTTAATTTCTCTTCTTCACATACACGAAGCATAGTCTTGTAAAAAAAAACAACTTTAAAACATAAAGTTGGCTTGGCAGACCTGCTGTTGCCCTTTTTATGATGCAGTTTTAGTTTTGCAGCTCAAACAAACTAAAAATACACTTTTTTGATCAAGGTCGTGCATGTGTTAACAAGATTTAGGAAAGCAAGTGCTAAAGTTCATGATAATGCTTGGAGTGAGCAAGGATTAAACTGATTTGGAACATTTATTCTAAATTATGGTGTATATTTTTAGTGCAGAATATCTGCCAAAATGTTTAGCTGGATGAAATTAAATTTTATTACTTTTTTCCCCTTTAAACTGATACATGAGCAAGTCAATGGATGGAATTGCACTGCTGTGGAATTTTACAGGGGAAAGAAGGATGAATGGTACAATACAAGTTGGAAAGGATGTTGTCCAGAAAGGACTTACCATATTTGTTGTGTATTTTTTTTTTTAAATAGGTATTATCACCTTAGAGCATATTCCTTCAGTAAATACCAATTAAAATTGCTTTGAGTACTGCTTGAAAGTTTCTCCCTGTTTTTTACTCCTTTTTTTTCATAAGTAGACCTTACTTTTGCTATCAGTATGCTACACAAACAGTTAATTTGTATTTTTAAAAGTAAGATAATTAACTTAGCTATTACCTGGGCTTTTTTCAACATTTTTTTGACAGGAGCATTCTCATTTTCACCTTTTTCAAGCTGCATGTGCATCTGTCTAAATGGGATGAAATCTTTAAATGTTTTGCTTTTGTTTGATGTGAGCAGGCATGATTATGGTTGTGATTTAGCAGAGGACATTTGTCCCTGCAGCTTTCCCAGCACTTCCACATGAATGTGCTCATGAACATGTGAAGCACTTGCATGTTATTTGTACAATTCTGCCAGGACTGTTCATGTATGTGGATGTTTTTGAATAGAGCTCTAACAAAGAAATCCTTTGTAAGTGATCTGTAAATTATTAATCTTGCTCCAGTTACTTTCTAATCCTTAATTTTTCCAGTTTCTGGTGGAGTTGAAGCCTGTCCCTTGTGGATTCTTTCATGGGATGTGTAGAGATGCTGTGCTGCTCTTGGCCCCTGTTCCTGTTAGAGCTCCCTTATTCTGTGCTGCTCTTTGCCCCACAAGTCCCCAAAACGTTGAGGGAAGAAAGGCACACTGTCCTGCAGAGGAGCCAGGGAGGAGGAGCAGGGTTTTTTTCTGTTTTAAATCCTTTGTTGCTGTAGCAAAGGGATTCTCAGGGATTGGTGGGGGCAGAGGCACATGGAGGCTGGGAATTGTTGGGTAAGGCCAGGCTGGACCTCTTGATCACAGTGCTTTTGAAGGGGTTTGCATGGTTTGAATCACTTTATTTGTAGATCTTGACTCTCACGGTGTGTTTTAGTGTAGGCCCTTCCACTTTATTGTATTTAGAAGTGAAGCTTTGAAAAAACTAGAAAATGTGTTTGTGATCAAAAATGTCATAAAATATCCATTAAAAGCAGCAGAGCTGGTGGAAAGGGAGGAAAATGTGC